TTCTAGTGGCAGTTTGCCTTCACAATCATTGCTACTGATGATTACCCCAAGAGTCACTTGATTCACAGTCTGTGAATTTAGTCTGTATCCCTGGTTTCTCCACTACTACTGTCTTCCTAGTTGCAGAGGTGAGCATTTAACACTACCCCCTTTGGTCTACAGAATATGTTTGTCCTTTTCTCCCACTTAATCTCTGACAAAGCAAGCCATGCTTCCTCACTGGAGTAATTTCCCCATACTCCTAATAGCTCTCTAGAAGGTAGATTTCACTGTTGATGCAAAAATGGTTATTAAAAATTATTATTCTAATTTTAGGTCATTACACATTTGCCTTTGCCTTCACTGAATTTTAAGATATACTTATTAGAATGCTGCACGCCTTCTGTTGCTTCTGTAGGCTGATCTTATTGCGCACACCAGGAGCTTTATGCATCGCTCCATGCCCCGCCCCCCGCCCTTTTATTTCAGGGAGTTGCTGCAACTCCCCCCCATCCCTTCTCTCATACCAGAGCTCATGCCATTTCCCCTTTCCCATACCAAAGCCTCCCATTCTTGCCCGAGTGCCACATGGTCTGTGAGCTCCTCATTCACCTCTAGCTAAGTAGCCTCCCAGCACACACTTGGGGGCAATAATAAGAAAATGGTTGATCCTTTTGAAATGAAAATGCTACTTCCAGCCTCCAGCTCAAACTTACCCAGCTGTTTTGCCAAGGCTGGCAGCCTAGGAATCAAAGGGACCCTAAACATCTAAAGAGACTCTTTGAAGAGAGAGGAAGGGGTGAGTCATGAGAGAGCTAGTACTGGGGAAACAGACTGACATGGAACACAGATGCACACCCCTCAAAAGCATCTTAAACAATAAGGATCTTTCCAGGTTCATGGGGAAGATAAGTCTTAGGAAAGAAAGCCACATGTATAGATTGTTTTAAAGTAAATTTTCTCTGAAATTATTTGGTTCTAAATCAACAGTAAGTGGTTTTAAGAAGGCTGTCTGGCCAGTGGATACCATTGTCAATAGCTCCCAGAGGGAGCTGAACTGCAGGTACTGCTGAGGTAACAACTAGGGTGGCCAGGTGCCCGGTTTTCAACTGGAAAGTCCAGTCAAAAAGGGGACCTGACAGTGTCCAGTCGGATCTATTGACTGGACACCCAAAGTCCGGTTACTGTGGGTGGGGGAGTTGCCAAGTCATCACTTGTGCCAGCCCCTTCTTAGCCGGGGCTACCTCCTACCTGCACTGCGTGTCTGCAGCTCTCAGCCCTGGCTTCCCAGGCAAGTGCCTCCCGACCTGGGCAGAGGTGGGGGAGAGAGAGAGGAAGAGCAGCGAGCAACGGGGGCAGGAGGAAAGAGAAGTGAACGGAGCGGGGCCTCAGGGCGAAGGGGCTGGGGCAGGAGTGGAGCCCTGGAGGAAGAGGCAGGGCTGGGGTGAGGCCTGAGGGAAGGGGAGGGTAAGGAGAGGTTCCGACCCTCCTGTTGGAGTGTCCAGTTTTTAAATATTACAAAGTTGGCAACCCTAGTAATGACCCTAGTACAGGGGGACTGAAGCCCAAGGCCTAGTCTGAGAATGGGAGAATCATGTGGGGTTCCAACCCAACAAATGTGATGGCTCGAGGCCCGAGACCTGGAAGATATGCATTCAAAGAGACCAGGAGAGGTCAGCAGAGCCAGGCCTTAAGGAAAATGGCACTTTGGGCAAACTTGTATTTTGGCACTCCTGGCCCCCGTGGACACGGCACTCCCCACATTGCCCCTGGTCCCCATAGGTGCCCCCCATTGTCCCTGGTCCCTGTGGGCTCCTGAAGCTCCTCACCCCCCTTTGCCCCAATCCCTGCCCCCCCTTCTGCACCCCTAATCCCTGCGCTCTCCACCTCCTGCACTCCTAACGGCTGCCCCCTCCTGTGTCCCCAATGCCTGCAGTTTGCCCCCTTCACTCCTAACCCCTGCACCCCCTCGTGCGTCCACGTGGGGAAAACGATCTGGATGCATGCAGTGGCTCCATTGCTACTCACTTCCCCCCTCCCCCAAATACTGCTCCTCTGGCCCCCTTGGGGAGTGTGGGGGTGGGAGCGAGGTGCAACGTCAGAGCTCCCTGCTTCCAAGTCACTTTCCCCACCTGGGCTGCATAAGGGGAGGGCAGGAGAGCAGCAGCTCCTGATGCTTGCCTCACAGCACTGCACAGGTGGGGAAAGTGACCTGGATGCAGGGAGCCTGGCGTTGCTCCTCACCTGCCCTTAGTCCCCCCTAGGAAGGTTCAGAATAAAGGGGGAAGGAGCAGTATCTCTGAATCACTGCTTCCCCCACCCCAATTCCTCTGCCAGGAGGAAGCAGGGAGAAATCTGGGCACCATCCTCTTCCCCCCCCGACACATCACCGCTACAAGTTTGCGACACTCCCTAGCCAACCAGGAGCAGTTTCTGACACCACACTGGCAACATGCACCTCTGCGCTGCCACACGGTGCCCCCCTGACCTTGGCACCCTGGGCAAACGCCCGGGTGGCCCACCCATAAGGCCAGCCCTGTGAGTGGTGCTGTTAGCCTGGTAACTGTGACAGTCTTCTTTCTTTTCCTATAGTCATGGTTAATAATTGTGAGGCTTTTCCTTATCTTTAAGCATAGTGTCACCTAAAGGATGCCAAGAACACAATGTGACTAAAATATTGGGAATCACATCCCTGTGTTGTGATTGCCTAGGGAGGTTGGGGAATCTCCATCACTGGAGACTTTTAAGAGCAGGTTAGACAAACACTTGTCAGGGATGGTCTAGAGCCCTGCCATGAATGTAAGAGACTGGACTAGATGACCACTTGAGGTCCCTTCCAGTCCTATAATTCTATGAGTTGGCATTAAAACACACAATTACGATTTGGCCTACCATTTTTTGTTTCTCTAGACTACAAAGTTTTAGTAATTTGGGAGATAAAATTCCTTGGAGCTCAATACGTTAAACACCACTTTCTACACCACATCTCCATATCTAAGTCAAGTAGGTCTGCATAGATTTGTCCTCAGCGCCGGTCAATGCTACTCCTCAATCCTCTGGAAGAACTAGTGTTGAGTGATGTGCAGAAATCTTCACATCTTACCACAGCAACAGATACCACTTACTGGTGGGGTAAAATAAGCAGTAGAAGGGCAACATACCCAACTCTTTAAAAGCCCAGGAAGTGAGAGACTAGAGAAACTATTTGTCCCTCTCTTCAGTCATCTCATTCTGTTTACTCTCCTTTTCTGTATAATCAAGCATGAGGCATCTTACTCATGAGGTGTCGGGGCACTAAAACACCAAGAAACACTTTTAAAAAAGCCTTTTTGATGTTCTTTAGACAATCAGATGATTCCATGTAGATTTTGTTAAACGTGGGTGTGTCATCAAGCCATTTGATTTGTCAAACATTGATTCCATTTTGTTCCCAAAAAAGCCCAAATTTATTGATCTTCTCAGCATGCTTTAAAACCCATCTGTTTTTCTCAGCAAAATTTTAGCGTAGTGGGAACTACAGTAGAAGAACAGGACTTCAGCTGGATGGCCAGATTTTGTTATGAAATTGGGCTAATTGGACCTGTTTTTATATTGCTATGTTATAAGTTTTTATATGACATGATAATCTGATTGATGAATCTACAGCCATTGAGTATATGCTTTTAAAAAACAGAAATCAATAAATGCTAAGTCTCCAGCATTAAAAACCACGACTCATACATTTCAAGGAATTTTGAAGAAAATTTAAAAAAAAAAAACAATATGAATGAAATCCTGGTCCCATTGGAGTCAATGGCAAATCTCTCATTGACTTTTCAGTGGGGCAAGATTTCACACTATAGACTCAAGAAAAATGATGAAAACTGAAAAAATTATGCCAGCACAAGAAAAGTCAATGTGGGGAGGGGGGGAGGTAAGGGACGGAAAAAATACAACATTCAGGACTTGAGGAGACCCAACAAGTGGAATCTATTAGTAAAGCTTCTGAGAACATGTTGCCTTTTATGTCACCAGGCTCAGACTTTTTCTACCTGCTATTTTCAGTTCCATTTGCCTTAATGTTGACAATGGAAATGCTGCATATGTTTGTATCTCAGTGACTTACACACTGAAAACACAGCACAAACATACTGTGGTACCATGGTGCAGGTATTACAGCTAATTCACTGTTCAGTGTTAGAAAAGTGCTACATAGTTTGACCAGAAGATAATTCAAAGTGTTTAAAATTGGCACCATCTTCTTGTTCAAGAAATCGTCTCCCGACCTATATATTCAACCACACCTACTTGCTTTTATGACAAAAATATGCTTTTGCTACTTTTTACTTCAGTTAGCACTGCAGAGCCAACATTGTTTTGGAAGAGTTGGCTCGATTCTGATGAGTTCATATACCATCCACAGGATAGTTAATTAAATTCAGATAGAAGAACTTTTTCTATTTATGTTGAACTGTGATCTTTCTAGCTCTAACAGTCAGAAACCAGACTGGGTTTTCAGAGGCGGCATTTAGGAAAACAAACATTCTTTTACTCATAAAGGCAGTAAAATATGAAATCACAGACACACAGCCCCACAAATGCAATTCCTATGGGCACTTTTTGGAGAATAACTGCACTTTATAAGAAATCTATGCTGCTACTTAAATGAAAAAGCAATGAGTTAAGTCATGGAGCTTTAATATGCTAAACGAGTTTACAAATTACAGTGCTGATGAGTCAGAGGGATGAATTTGCCCTGTGCCCTGCAGGAGTGATACAATCAGCAAGCTTAGAAAAGGGACATTTGAAAAAATTCTAAATCCCTTTAAAAGTGATTTGTGACTGCACATATGGATTTTAAGTAAAGTATCTTTAATTGAGCTGCCCGTCAGCTGAAAACTAACTTTTAGAGAGAAAACCAAAAATATGTTTAATATCAGAACATAAATCATATACTGGATTACTTAAATCTGCAACTTGCACAAGATTTAAAGAACAAAAAATCACTTCTATAACAAATCAGCATCATTAAAAAGATGTACCTTTAAGTTTTCAACTTCTTCCTTGTTTTCCCTCTTTAATTGCAAAATTGCAGCATGGTACTCTGTAAAAAATAAAGAAGTGATACAGATTAATGACATAACAGTCAAAAATGCCTCTGTCTATGAAAACAACATGACACTCTAGACACAGTGCCATTTTATACTGTGCTTCCATGCCAAAAAACATAGGTTGAAGCTTCTGAAGAGTAGGCCTGCTAGAAAGGTGGCAAAGAAAATGTAAGTCACATTGATTAGAGTGCATATTCCAGGATCATGTGATATATGTGGCCATACTGACAATGGTGTTAATAGTGACAGAGGATAATACAAATAGCTCTCACATGGGGAGAGGAGTAAAAAGTGTATGGGTGGAGTGGGAATGTATTTCAAATTGAGGTAAACTGAGGTAACTGAAGAAACTTGGGATTTGGTTTTTGAGGTAAAAAGTGCAGTTGATAGCATGCTTCTATCACACACAAAACGTTTTGAAGGAATATCTACATTTAGTAGTCAAATCTTTCACTGAATTGTATTCAATTTTAAAGCCGATAACATCTACACATAGACTATTTGGACAGGGTGCAGAAAAAAACCAAGTGATTTGAGGCCTGGAAAAATGCCTTACAGCAAGAGGATTATCAAAAAGAAGATCGAGAGGTGACTTGCTTACGATGTATAAGTACCTTGATGGAGAAGAAATACTAGGCACCAAAGTGCTTTTTCATATATCAGAGAAAGGCAGCATAACAAGAACAAATGGCTGGAAGTTAAAGCCAGACAATTTCAAATTAAAAATCAGGCAAAAAAAATTTAACAGTGAGAGTAATTAACATTGGAACAGCCTACCCAGGGAAGAGAGAGATTTTCCATCTCTTAATGTCTTTAATGCCTTTTTAGAAGACAGAATGCCTGTGTAGAAGATATGCTTCAGTCAACCATGTTACTGGCTCACTGCAGGGGTACTTTGGTGAAATTCTATTGCCTGTATTATACAGGAAGTCAGACTAGATAATCTAATGCACCCTTATAACCTTAAATATATGAATCTATGAAAAAATATGAATCAAATATGAATGAATAGAACATATAGTTCATAGATCTATTTACAAATAATTGTTTTCTTACAAAGAAATAAAGTACTATTCCTGGCTTTGGTTGTGATCTGAATCCCTAGCACTGTTTTTAGTACTTTGTAAGACTAAGATTTTATTATATATTTAAAAAAATTGTAAACTGCAAATCACAGACCACACGTGAAAAGATTTTATACAATAATATGTATTAGATTGCTATTTGAGTATGGTACTATAGGTAAAAATAAATGAGTATATCCTTAAACTCATCATGATTCCAATAAATAGGACTCTAACTAATACAATTCACAGTTCAGAGTAATGAAATGGAAAGAAAACCATATGGGTCTGCAAAAAATTAAGCTTGAATTTCAGGGGAAGATGGGGTTGTCAAGACATAACTGCTTAGTCATGAAAATATACTTGCATTTTAGCTTTGAAAACATAATTAAAGACCTAAAACAGTCTTCTCTCTACTGACTTGAAAGCATTCTAGGATAATATTAGCTACATTGATTACATGCTTGGTAGAGCTCTTTCTTTTAATAAGCAAACCAGACTACAAAAGCTGACTGTTTGTTGTGTTTAGTAAGTGGAGTAACTGTCAGTGCTTTTGCATTCATAAAATCACAGTTGGCGCTTGCTCACATTCTTTAAAGAAAGCTTGTTGCAAGTGAGACCGAGGGTCCAAAGGTAGTCAGTCCCTCATATGACACTAAGGAAGCAGCTGCACATTTGGCAACTAAAGCTACTCTCCTCCTCTCTGTCTCCAGTTAAACATATTCAGCCAATGGAACATGGCTCCGCTCCTGCTCCCTGGTACAATTCCTATTGACTCAGTAGAGTAGACTCAGAGACTCTAATTGTAATGAGTGATGAGCCAAGACCAGACTGAACATGTTTAAGAGAAGCATTTCCCTTTGAGGTACTTCATTTGCCCTGGAAAGAGAGACTTAAACTAGCAGATGGCTATAGAATATGTACTGTATCTTTCTCTTGGGAATAGTTGTGATCAAACTACAGAAGTCATTCAACAAAATTCAACATTCTTTGTTGGCCAACAAAAAAACTAAGGCCAAAATTTAACTGACAAGTTTCACTATCTTAGGGTTTTATATGGTGCCTAGTACAAAGAACTAGAGCAACAAAGCAAAACAAAAAACATTCTTTCTTTCTTTGGGGCAGAGGAATCTGACTGTGTGTGCCTTTCTTTTAATTGTTTCTTTAGGGAGAGGGAAAGGATACTTGGTCTTCTACCAGCTGGAGACAGAGACAGTTGAAGTCTGTGAGCCAAGAAGCATCTTATGCGTAGATCTTATTTAAATTGTTTTAACTATTTTTGCCAGCTTGAAGGAGATATATCATAGCATCTGGACTGATATAAAAGGGAGAAATGACTGGTATTTTTACATTTATTTGGTTGGTAAAACAAGAGAAAAATATGGGACAAAATAACAAGGACAGGCAAAAGCAACTTATAATGTCATCTCCTCAATATCTCTCTTCCCTTAAACCCAACATAAACATGAAATTCATCAGATTTAATGTCTAAGTACATAACTCATGCAGTAAACAATGTAAACCACACCAAAAATAAGGAATACAAAACCAAATAGGAATCTTAACCAGTTTGTACATAATATACAATTCCTCAGCTCCTTAGTTGCTGCCTGTTTCCAGATTGGCTAACTCCTCTACAGCTACCAAAGAGGAATTCTCCAAACACTTTCTGACGCAGAAGTAAATTAACATTTCTGTAGGGGTAGTGTATAGATTAATATCCGAAGGTTCCAGTATCTCAAGGATCTTGAACATGCCAAAGTAGTCAAGAAAAAAAGACCGGTCTGAAAAAATGGTTTTGTTTGTTTTTTAAACCATGTATTTTATTTAAGAGGCAGAGTATTATTTACCATTTGGGAGTAGCAGTCTTGTTAATTTCTTGCCTTTTACATCAACTCTTTGGATTGGCAAACTCCAGAATAATTTCAGTGGCTTGGCATGCTACAACTCTTAGTTATAAGATTTTTTTTTTGAAGTTATCTTATTCCAAAAAATCTTGATGCTTGGGGCAATAGCAGATGATCTAGTGGCCCCTTCTGCCCTTAAACTCTATGACTCTATAAGAAATAGTGTACCCAATCTTCTGCTTAAACATATCACCTCTGGATAGAAGCAAGTGTCCAAGTCTTTGAATTGCTTATATACAGTGTGTTGCACATCGATATAGTGTAATGTATATCTAATATACTTTCTAGCATGATATAAAAGATATACTGTAGCATACCAACTTACTGACCAGTGTAATGTTTATTCCAGACAAACTGAAAAGGAAGTATCTAAAATACAAATATTCCTGATGGGTAATAATGGAGAGTGCTCTTTAAAGTAGATGCTTAATTCTGTAATAAGAATAGATATAAAATAAAATAGTCTTCATCGGTTAATTTAAATATTGTAAAAATAATCTATTTAATAGGAGTTGACACCCAGCAAAGTGTGTTTTACCTCCTCCTTAAGCAAACATTAATATCTGTATGGTACAGTGTATATCTGTATTCATATCTGATGGTACAGTGAAAACGAAACCCAACTGATAAGACCCAGGACTGAATATAATAATTTGTACTGTGCTGTATGACACAGACAGCAAACAAGTGATTCATTCTTCTCCTTACCTATTTATCACAAGGGCAGTCTAATTTGGGACTATTTATTGTGAGCAATTTTAGCCCCTTGATGAAAGGGTCCGGCACACAGAACCAGTGGTCTGAGTTGTCAAAATTATCACTAAGGAAGGCGAGAAGGGAGGAGACTTGTAGGGTTCCAATGGCCATGGCACCCATAGAGCTGCAAAGTTTAAATTTTCTGTCCATACTGGCTCAGAGGGATACAGTGCAAAATACAACAGTACTTAGATGTTGCTCAGAAAAAAGTGCAACCACAATAGTGATGTAAACACCAGTGCACTGTTGATACAAGTTGTATGTGAATGCAAGGAGTTTTACATATGTACTAGGAGGCTGCAACACCAAAGCAGTGTAGGGTAGTAATAGCAAGAAAAAAAGTCAGGTGACAGGCACTTTCAGTATCTGCGGATGCAAAGAGGACAAGAGCTGGCAATTTGGGATTTATATGTTATAAGGGAAGACGATAGGAAAGAGTATGTGTGACAGATTGGGTCACAGAGACCCCCTTGGGACTGTCACCTAATGGGCTGAAACTACCTTTGAGCCTGTTTTCCCTGCCAGCTAGGGACTTCAGTACCCTGTCTTGTTGAGCCAGACATGCTAGTCTGCTGCAAACACAGACCCAGGTCTGAACCACGTCCCCCAAAAGCTGCAGACTCAACAGAAAACGGCTTAGAAAGTGCTCCTCTCTCTAGCACCCAGATACTGATGTTCCCAATGGGGTCCAAACCCCAAATAAATCTGTTTTAGTCTGTATAAAGCTTATACAGGTAAACTCATAAATTGTCCGCCCTCTATAACACTGATAGAGATATGCACAGCTGTTTGCTCCCCCAGGTATTAGTCACTAACTCTGGGTTCAGTAATAAGCAAAAAGTTATTTTATTAAATATAAAAAGTAGGATTTAAGTGGTTCCAAGTAATAACAGACAGAACAAAGTAAGTTACCAAGCAAAATAAAATAAAACATGCAAGTCTAAGCCTAATACAGTAGGAAACTGAATACAGATGAAATCTCACCCTCAGACATGTTCCAATAAGCTTCTTTCACAGACTAGACTCCATTTTAGTCTGGGCCCAATCCTTTCCCCTGGTATAGTCCTTGTAGTGGCTAGGGGATTTCTCATGACTGCAGCCCCCCGTGTTCTGTTCCATCCCCTTTTATAGCTTTGGCACAAACCGGGAATCTTTTGTCTCTCTGGGTCCCCATCCCTCCTTCTAAATGGAAAAGCACCAGTTTTAAGGTGGATTCCAGTACCAAGTGACATGGTCACATGTCCTGTGAGACTCCAAGCCTTCATT